CCTTCTGGGACTTGGAAAGAAAACATAACCAAGTTGCTTTGCCTTAACAGTCTCCTGTGCTCCACTTTTCTTTTATTTGGCTCCTTTCGGAGAGTTTTTCACCTAAAATCTCAAGACCATCGACTTCAAGCCCACCTGATTTCCCAACTGTGGTTTTTATGCTTGCAAACTTTCAGAACTCTTTTTCTCCCTCAGATCACTTCCAAATCCCCTCCTGCTGGGTCCCATCTTCTTCCCTTCCACCTCCACCCCTTTTCTGGGAAACCCCTTATGGAAAGAGGGGACAAGGCCACCAGGGAACATTTGCTCTCAAGTTAACATGCTACATAGACATGTGTTCACACACAATTTCTTTTAAGAACTTGTTCTGCATCCTGAACCCTTTAGCTGCTTCATCATGAATATGATGCCCCCCTTTAATTAGTGAGGTCAACCTCCTGAGATTCCCTTTTATTTGCCTGCATACTCATTATTATTATTATTATTATTATTATTATTATTATTTACCTTTATTAGACACATCTAACTAAAACAACCTTCCATTGTGAAGATGAGGAGGAAAGAGCATAAAGAGGCAGCCTTCCTCCGAAGGAAAACCAGGGTGATGCCATTTAATGCATTTAGCTCGAGGACAGAACACCCCTTCTACAATTCTTTGTCTGTCTCCAAACACTGAAAAAGTCCCACCAAGCAGAACTGCTGGTGAGATCCACTCATTTCCTGGCCCTTTTGGAAGCTTTCTTCTGTGAATGTACACACTGGGGAACATTCTTGAATGGCTACATGCCCCCACCGGCCATTAACCAACCAGTCAAAATCTGCTGAGTTTTGAACATCTCCAGTTTAAGCCAATTTCATTCTCACTGGTGCAATCGACACCACATTAAAACCACCTCTGTGCATACCTTGGTTGTGCCTCATTTTGTCCAAACTTGACATACTACAGTGAGGTACAGAACTAAAGCCTTTCATTTGTTTATTATTTTAAGGATTGTGATTGGAGGTAACTTTCACTGGAATCAGTGGGAATTACTTTTCCGGCAAAGAACTGATCCTAGTACTACTGTAACGAAATCCTTCTCCCTGGAATGCAGAAGTCTTACTTTCTAAATAATGCATTTGGAGGGGGGGAAGGTGTCAGGGTACGACATCTCTCTAAGACTTCCTCCCGGACAGATTTAAACCAACTGCAGTTTTCCTTTTAAGGGGTTCAGAAGTTCACTTTTGAGAAGACTGCGTGGATAAATGCATGTCGGCAATGTAATTTTTTCATTTTATATATGAATTCTCAACTTCCTTCAAATATCAGTTTTGGAAAAGGATTGAATCCTTAGAACATTAGGCCTTTAGCATCTAATCAAAAACACATTCAGAGCAAAAGTACAAATGTGTTTATGATGTCAGCGTAAATAATAAAACACTATTTCTTCCTGCAAATAAAACGAAACCTGCAAAGTCATTGCATTATGCTGGGAAAGCAGGCATGCTCCCTGTGTATGTTTTTCCTTCTCCCCCCCCCCTTGTTGTGTTATGTAAAGTGTGTACACGTGCATTTGTACAGTTTATGCTTGTTTTGGTCAATGTTATTCACTAAAGCAACCTCCACTGAATCTCAAAAAGTGGGAAACAGGCCAAGGTTGGAAAAGCACTGACCTACAAGAATGGATGCACTCTTAGGAGTGGGTACATCAAATAAAAATCCTATGGAGATTGCACATAAGTATATTGAGGACAGATCTTACTATCTAGACAACTAAGATTCTGAAGGAAATTTACTAACATATTTTGGGATTAGGTGCCCCCTTCCCAATGATTCCCAGAAGCAGGCAGAGTTTTGAATTGAGTGACAATTAGCATATTCTCTCTCTCTCTCTCTCTCTCTCTCTCTCTCTCTCTCTCTCTCTCACACACACACACACACACACACACACACACACACACACACACAAGCCCCTTCCATTATATCAAATAGGTGTTCATGGAAAATGTTGCTAATCAAAACAAAAACACATCATACTCCTTAGGAACTCAGAAACCTGGTCTGTGTTTATTTAAAGTATGGCCTGACAGAAGTCAAAGCATTTTTAAAGAGGCAACTAGTTTCCTTGAACAGAACCTTTGGAAATGGCTTATCTTCCTCATCCTATGCCATTAGATGACAGAAATTAATAGATTGGTGGCAGGATATTTTAATTTATTCCTCCTCCTTTCCCCTTTGCTTTTTGAATTTGTTAGGGCATTAATAAAAAACAAACAAACATTTATATTTCTATGCCAGGAACCATTATTACCCCAATAAATCGAGGGGCATCTATACCTCTGAAAAACTCTGACATTTATTTAGATACAGCTTGCAGCTTGAAAGAGATTCTGAATGTCAACTTTGTTTCTTAAGATAATCATATCCCAACTACTCTGACTGGTAGAGACATAAAAGAACCACCATCAACATCCCATAACCTTGGACTAAATAATGCAAAACTAATAACGAGCGACTCACACCCATTCAGATATTTCAGAGATCCCAAGAGAGTCCCTGATATATTTTGTAATAACAACGCATGCCAATGGATGCCAATTTGAGGTGCATTCTAAGTGTATCCCACCTGAATGAAAGGCCTGGAGAAGCTGGTAGAAATGGGCATCACTATAAACACTGGGGAAATCTTTTCTCGTGTTTTATGTGGCATTTTTAAGTTTACACTGACATGGACTGTACTGTGAAAGATTAACTCCACAATCCCATGAATGCCAATTCCAAAGGAATTCATCCATGCACACACACTCAGAATAATCCCTATTGAGTTCAACAGTACTTGCTCCAAGTTATGTGTGTATAAGATTGTGACCATTTCTTATCTAATCAGCAATTTAATGTACAAGCTGTATCCACTCTAAAATGCATGAGAAATCTTTGCCATCTTTTCCAATGTATGGAACTTGCTTCTAATTTATTTTGTTTAAAGGGGCAATTTCAGCTAAATGTACCTCCAAGAAAATTCAAGAATGGCTATTAATTTTCCCAACAAGAAAGACAGGAAAAGAGAAATAGTCTTATTATTAAATGGTGGGTCCCTGGCCAGAATAGCATTTCATTAACACCCAGTCCCCCACTTAATTAAAGGAAGTAGATGGAGGGATGGGTTAGTTTCATCTTTCTAAGGTACTTGGGAAAACAAGAAAAGAGAAAAACAAGACTGAGAAAGAAAACATGCATCTCCGAAAGAATCACGACACAGGGAGAGCTAAAGAGGCACTGCATCAAAAAATCTCAGGGTTAAATTTCCAGCGCTCCAAATGCTTTAGCAAACCAGAAGTCCGTTTTTCCTCCGCAGTCTTTCTTTCCCCTTTCCTCCCCAATGAGCCTGTGGACATCCTTGGGTCGAGGAGGCGCTTCTTTTCACTCTACCAAGGGGAGGGGAGCTGGGGCGGGGGAGGCAAGGCGAGAAAACTTCCAAAGATGAGGATGGTGCTTGAAATTCGGTACAAGTGTGACACCTACCTGTGAATTTGGGAAGCAATCCAAGGCGACTCGCCTCAACCTCCATTTGTACGTGCTAATCTCTGTATGGGAAATCCCCCCCGCCCCGCCGCCATTATTTCTGCAGTAAAAAGCCACCAATAGGGGGGATAATTTAATCACACTAAATTTGAAAATAGCGATGCAAGGTGCAGTCTCTCTCTTTCTCTCGCCATGCGTGTGCAGAAGACACAAACACATAAATGAATTTAAGGATGAATGATTGTACCTCTCATGCGCAGGCCAAGGGAAAGACTCACGACCACAGAGCCCAAAGAGACCGGCTCCCCCAGCGAATTCTCTTAATACTTATTCCCCCTTCTCTCTCTGCAGTAACTCTGCAGCCGTTTGAAATAGTAATAAGAGATAAATCTGGCATAAAATCGAACTCATTAGCAAAGTTCAGAAGCTGCCTGCTTTGCATAAAGCCCGACACTGATTGGAAGTAATTAGGTTAAGAGACGGTATGCTGAGACTACCCTGCGCCTTGGTGTGAGAGAGAGGGCCCCCTGCGAAAACCCCAATAAATTGCCTGAGATTGTCATTCGTGCATTGCTTTCCATTCCTAGTAGCCAGCTCCCCCTCCCCACTTAAAGCCAGGCACCGGGCACCTCTCGGGGGACTAGGTCCCAGGGGTTAGGATAGGTACCGAGAGCTTGCAGGCTGGACCCAGAGGCTGCTTTTCCGCATCCACCCAAATACTCGGGGAGCAAGTGGTGGCAGGACCTGAGGGCCTCTCCCCCGGAGATGGCCCCGGCTCACCTTGGGGCCCTGCCCAAGAGAGCTCTGCCAAGCTGTGCATGCACCTTCCAGCCCACGTGAAAACCCCAACCCCAACGACTGCTCCTTCCAAACTGAATTAACTTCTGCGATCGAAGCCGGCGGATCCTTCCTGGCCATCTGTCCACTTTTGGAAAGTCAATAACCTGCGCCTATCTGAGTGCCGCCTTCTCCCCTCCCCTTTCCTTTCTCTCTTCCTCCTTCTTTCTTCTCTCCCCACCCTAAATCTTCCCATTGAAACGCATCTCGTCTGCAGAGGCCTTTTGCAAATCACCCCTGTCCAGAGAACGACCTCTTTCTCTTGCCAAAGTTACTTTCTGCTAATGTTCAGAATTAATCTTTCAGCTCTCTTTAAAAAGGGGTGCAGTGGGCAGGGGAATGCCAGAGACAGAAACTCAGCGTATATATTCCTTTTTAGGGGTGCTTTGCCTGGCGGTTCAGCCTGGCCAACAGTGTTTTTTTATTTATTAAAAAAAAAGCCTAGGGAGAAATGCATATGTTTGGATGCACAAATGGTTTTATCGTGCAAAACCAATGCATGTCTCCCCAGATCTAGGTCCCATTGCTACCATTGGGGTTTATTCCCCTGCAAGTGAGTGTAGGATTGAGGAAAGAGTATCTGAGGTTTTACACCTAATACAGTGGTCCGATTGCCCGCTTCCCTCCCCTATGGCTGGTAATAATGTAATACTATTAATTCAATAGGCATTAAATTTTAATTTAAACCCGTGTGCGCGTGTGTAGCTCTTAAAACTAGGAAACAATCTGGGAAAAGACACCAATGTATATATATATTTATATTATTTATATTACCAAAAACCCAACATTAATGGCTGTACAGGTGGTTGGATTTAATAATTTACTTCAAAGATATGTGTTACCGATTTAAATACAAAAAAGCTACATTAAATATACAGAATAAGATTTCATACAAATTGCTTCTGCCTTTTTTGTAAATGTGTGTGCGGGACGCTCTTCCCTCCCCGTCTTGCGATCCCTTTTTAAGACTTCAGCCGTCCTTTCTCCTAGAAGCTTTCGCTTTCTCCTTTTTCAAATAAATTAGAAAAATCGATGGACAGGTTCGTGGCCGGGGCTTTACGCTTCCCCCTCCCTTCCTCGCGTCTCTCTTGCCTTCCTCTCCCACCCTCCGCCACGTGAAGAAAAAATACCGGAGCGCTCAAAATCAGGACTGAATCGCTTGTAAATAAATTAATAGCAGTAAAAGACCTCGAGATGGGGAAGCAGAGGGCGGGGGCGGCCTCCCGAGGGGAAGGCGTCCGGTGGCGCAGAGGGCAAGCCGAGATTAGATATGCGACATACCTTTCTTCAGTTCGTAAGGCGACTCTTTGCTAAGATCAAATTGGGACTGGCTTCGGAGGAGCTTCGTTTCTTTAGCCAGGGCCTCCGCTCTGCTTAGCAGGGTCTGGTTTAATCCGTTAAAGTGGGCGCCGGGCGCGCCCGCCGTGGCCGCGCCGCTGTGGAGGTGTCCGAAGGAGCCGTAGTTCGTGTAGCCCGGGTAGAAGGGGCTGGCGGCGTAGTACAGCGGCCGCGAGAGCACCGAGGCGCCGCCGGGGAAGGGGCAGTGCGCCGCGGAGGGCGAGCGCGCCGTCGGGGCGGGCGCGCCCCCGCCGCCGCCGCCCGGGCCCTGTGCGGGGGACTCGCCGCCGCCGCCGCCGCCCTCTTTGGCCTTGTCCGCTGAGGTGGCGATCTCCGCCAGCGACCACAGTTTGGGCTTGGAGAGGGGCCCCTGCCCGGCGCCCGGGGCAGGGTTCGGCGGCGGCGGCGGCGGCTGCGCGGGCGCCGGGGGCGAGTGGATCACCGACGCGCCGTGGCCGCCGCCGCTGGAGGACAGGATGGGGTGCAGGTCCGTGGAGGGCGGCCGGAACGGGGCGGGCAGCGGCTCCTCGCCGCCCGCGCCCGCGAGGTGGGGATGATGGTGGTGGTGGTGATGCGCGTGCTGCTGCTGCTGCTGCTGCGCCTGGAGCAGGAGGCGGCCGGCGGGCGGCAGGCAGTGCACCAGAGGCGGCGAGGCGCCCGCGGCTCCTTTGGGCAGCCCTTCGTCCGGCGTGTCCTTGCAATCCGAGTCGCTCGAGGCGCCGTCGGCCTCCTTGCCCGGCGCGGCGCCCTTCGGGTCTCCCGCGGCGGCACCTGCGGAGAAAGGCGAGCGAGGCGCCCGGGGCGCCCGTCAGGCTCCCGCAGCCCTGCTCGGCTCGGCCCCGTGCGCGCGCGCGCCCGCCCGCCCCCTGCCCCAGTAAGCCCCTTTCTCTTTCCCTTTCCCAACTGGCCGCGCTCAGGCCTGGGCCAGCCTTCCCGGGACAGCGTCCGGGGAAAAGCCCTCTTTCCTCTCCCCTCCGGCCTCCTCACCAAGTTAGGCCCAGAGACCTCCCCAAGCCGCCCCTTCCAGCATAACTGGCAGCCCATTATCCGCATCTCGCCCATCCAGCCATCCAGCCGGCCCCGCAGAGGTCCTCCTACCTATCTCGGGGGCCTCGGGGTCGGCCTTCTCCTCCAGCTTTTGCGGCTCCTCCTCGTCGTTCTTCTCCAGGTCGATGTTCTCCTCCTCCTCCTCATCCTCGCTCCGGTTCCGCGGGGTCCAGGTCATCTTGTTCTCCTTCTTGAGGCGCCGGCGCGCGTTGGCGAACCAGGTGGAGACCTGCGTGAGGGTCATCTTGGTGATGATGGCCAGCATGATCTTCTCGCCCTTGGTCGGGTACGGGTTCTTGCGGTGCTCGTTCAGCCAGGCCTTGAGGGTGGCCGTGGCGTCCCGCGTGGCGTTCTTCCGGTAGGCCGGGTCCCCGTAGGGGTAGGACCCCAAGGGCGCTGCGTAAGGGTGGTACCCCAAAGAGCCCGCCATGCCGGGGGTGTGGTCGTAGGGCGACCCCTGAGAAAGAAGCAGGAGAGAGAGGAGAAGAGGCGAAGCAGGCCTGAGGTGAGAAGGAGACTTCCTGGAAGCGGGTGGGCACGTTGGAGAGCCTGAACTTTCTTGTGGCGGTTGGTATACTGGAGTGGCAGGAAGCCCCCAGTCTTGCTCTCCCCGGGAAAAGCAGTCCCGGCCTAGAAGCCTGGATCTCCCCAAACTTGCTGCGGGGCTGGGCGTGGGGGAACGAATCAACCATCCGCGAACTAAGCGAGCACTGTCCACAGAAGAGGTGCTCCCAGCAAGGGGAGCCCCCCCCACCCGGTGCTTTCTAGGGTCCCGTGCAGTCAGTCACCTTAGCTCGTTTCCAGCTTTGCCATATTCTCCTGTTGTAAACAGCAACGAGTTACACCCCGCCTCCTTCTCCCTCTAATTGAATGCAACCTTTCACATAAGACCCCGCTAACCATTTTTCGCCTGGAGGCGTGACAGTGACCAGGCAGAACGCAAACTTCTCCCCCACCCGGCACACACACTCACACACACCCCATAGGCGCTAACCCAAAAATATTCCCTCCAGCTTGGTGCAGCGTGAAACTGAATCTTTGGATCCGCGACCGTTTCCTTCCGAAAGGCCTAATTCGCCTGCTTAAAAATGGAATGGCTGGTCTTGGAAATGCTCCTGGAATAATAATTCCAGCCCAGTTGGGACTGGGGGGCGGATGGGCGAAGGAGAAGAGGTCTTGTGCATTTTATGGGGTGGGGGCAGAAAGCAGAAATTTGCTTTCACCGTTCTGGTTTGTTGTGAAAACCTTTGACAGCACTTCTGAAAGGTTCCCCTTTTTCCGGGGGTGCTTTTGCAGAACATCTGAAGAGGTCGATTTGGGTGGGGGGCAGAAAAGGGGAAAAGGGTGCGGAAAACGTCACGAACCTTTCCTTTGTACCCATGCAAATAAAACTAGTAATAACAATCATTTCTCCCGTAGTCCGGTTTCACTATTTCCGCGCAGCCCAATTCAAAGTGGCGGAGAAAGCGAGCGAGCAAGCGAGCGAGGAAGCAACTCGGGCTACCTTCTCAGCCCCCATCTGCCACGGCAGTGAGACCGAGGGTCATTTAAACAGCTTCACTGGACTCGCAGGCAAACAATTGCGAGTCTCGTATGGGCGGGAGACAGAGGAGAAGCGCTTCTCTTAGGAATCTCTGGCTAAAGGAAGCGGCGGGCATGTTGCAAGCGCAGCCGGCGCTTTCGTGGCTTTTCCACCGCCTTCTGCACGGAGAAGAGAAGCCCTGGCCCTCCCGGCGACGCCAAGGGCAGCACTGCGAAGCTCAGCGCGCTCGGGAAGCGCTCGCTGGGGCGACCCCGAGCCCACGCGCTTGGTGCCGGGGCGCAGACGCCGCAGCCGCTCGGCCAAGTGAGCCCGCGCTCCGCTCCGCTCCGCTCCGCTCCGGCGTGCCCGGGAGGACGAGTCGGGCAGACCTCGGCGGAGCGGGCCCCTCGCTGCGGGGACGCGAGCGGGGGCCGAAACGCGCCGCCTGCAACTCACTTCTTTCCCAGAGGTCGTGGCGGGTGCGCCACAATTCGTTTGAGGAGATGCTGAGGCGGAAAGGGCGACAGCCGGAAAGACCTCTCGGGTCTTGCCTCGAACCAGCCCTTCCTCCTCCTCCTCGACTGCTCCTCGCGGGTTTGCTGGGCTTTCCCTCGCTCCCTCCTCTCGCCCGGCAGCTTCGCCAGACTCAAGCCGCTAGTCCTCTCGGCGAACCCCGCGGCTGCCCCGTCCCGCTCCCCTCCACGAGCCCCAGCCCCGGCTGCAGAACCCCTGTGCGCCGGCCCTCCGCGCTTACCACGTAAGAGGAGAACGCGGCCGCCGCCGCCGCCGCCGCCGGGTCGGTGCCGTACTGGAGATGCGAGTTGTACCCGGGCGAGGGGGCGCTGAAGGCGGTGGAGCCGGCGTACGGGGAGAAAGCTGAGCCGGACGACGACCTGCCCAGCTCATCCGTCCTGGGGCCCGAGATGACGCTGGTGCTGTAGGCCGGGCAGGAGTAGAGCGCCAGGGACGCCGACGGCTGGTACAGGTAACCCTGAGGATACGACATGGCCGGGAGCAGGCATATACCCGCCAGCCGGGGCTGCAGCAGCGAAATCCAGCACCGCCGCCGCCGCCGCCGCCGCCAGAGCAGCGCCCGCCTCGAGTGTGCGCGCGTGTGAGTGAGTGTGTGCGTGCGTGCGCGCGTGTGAGTGCGCGCGCGCGCGTGTCGTCGGAGCAGCCTTGTCCGAGGGCGCCTCTGCGGCCGGGGCCGGGGCCGGCGGGCGGAGAGCGCCTTCGCTTGCTGCGCGGCCTGCTTCGCCGCCTCCCCAGCGCAGACGATCTAGCCGGTCACTCTGGCGGACGGCTCCTTTTTTTTCGCTCGCTCGCTCGCTCGCTCTCTCTCTCGCGCGCGCGCTCTCTCTCCTTCTCCTCCTCCCGTGTCTCCCCCACTGTCGCTCCCTCCCTCCTCTGGACTGAGAAGGGCTCTCTCTCTCTCTCTCTCTCGCTCGCTCGCTCGCTCGCTCCCCCCTTTGCGCGCTCCGCCAAAAGGTCCTGCCAAGATGCTAAGTTAGAAATCGAGGATTCTGACGCCTGCGACGCAGCGCGACGAGGCTCCACCTCCGCGGGTGTTGGCAGAGCGAAAATAAAATAAAAAATAAAAATGGGGGGGGTGGAAGAAGCGGAGAGGGGGAGGAAAAGGTGGGGAGAGGAGGCTGCCTTCTGCGGGGCTTGCCTCAACCAAAGCCGGCCAGCCAGAAACGCTCCCTTTCCCCTCCAGCTTTCTCTTTGCTCTCTTCCCGGCTCAACTGCGCCGGCCTCTGGCTGGCAACCAGCAGCCAAGCTGTTTAGCGAAGATCACCTCCAACTTTCTTCATTTGCTAAATACACCATCAGCGCAATTTCTCTTTTGATTTATTGCAAGGAGTTCGCTCGCTCGCTCGGGCGCGCTCTCTCTCTCCTGGCTTCTTGCGCTGGAATGCAAAAGGCACTCAGTTGATGAAATAGATTTCATAACAAGATTTACTAGCCATTAAAAAAGAAGAAAGACAAGGTGGAAGGGGGGCGGGGGGGGGAGAAGCTAGGCTTCCCGGGTAAACCACTGGAAAAAGAACAGTAAAAAATAGAATTAAAAATGTATAAGAATCATCATTACATCACTCCCTCCCGCAAAGAAGAGGAGAACAAGCAACCCACTGGCCCGTGTTGCTTTGCGATTTACAGAACAGTCGAGATTCCGGGATTTTATTACTAGAAAACGAAGGATCCCCTAAAGGGGGACCCACCTTTACTTGGTGGCTGTAAGGCCGATGAAGCCTCTTACTCAAGAGAAATCCTGATGCGAATTCCTTAGCTCTGTCCTCCGCGCTACCCACCCCAAACTTTGATTCACAGACAGGCGCAAGAATTCTCCAGCCTAGCTCGGCCGCTGTAAGGGCTGCGAGAGCAGTCCGCAACCTACTTGAGCCGACACACTTGTGCTTGCCAGCGACTGTGGGAAAGGGTGGCGAAAACTGCTCCACCGACGTGCGGACCACGCCGCTGGGCCTAGAACGGCGCCGGACGCGCGAGCTGCAGGCCTGCGAAGTGGTCTGGGGATCGCAGCGTCAAGCACGCAAACTGTGCCACATTTTTGCCTGACTTGTACGTGTCTGTTTTGACGGTGAACGACGAGGCTGCTGACTTTGGCTCGGATATGGGAAATCCGGCGTGAAATGGCAACTCCGCTTTGGCTCGGAGGCGGCGAGGTCGCCAAGCCTCACCGACCTCGCCGGCGTGCGAGCGTGCGAAAAGGACAGGGCTAAACGGCCAGTTTCGTGGAAAAGTGTGCCTACAAATTAGTAATCGGCGTCCAGGCTGCGACCCACACCCGCGACCCCAGCGAGAGAGAATTGGATCAACTCCGGCTTCTTTTTGGCTGGCGGATCGGAGCCCGAGCAAACCCTCTCCGTTTCCCCCCCTCAGCAGGTTGTTACGGGAGAAGAGAACCAGCCCTTTGACGCCACGTTCGCTTGCCTCCCCCGTCCTCGCCTCCCCCCAAGTGGCACCCGTTGTTATAGGCGCAATAATAAAAGCCTAGAGGCTGCCTCATCTCCCCCTCCCAGTTCCCCAGATCCTAAGAAAACTGCGCTTTGAGTGTGCGTCGTGCGCGCCTGTGGGCTGGACGGTGCACAATCATTGTGGCAGGAGGGCACGTCGTCCTTCCCACTCCCCACCTCTTGAGGGGAGAGGACAAGAAGGGGGAACAGAAAAGGGGCAGGAAAGACCCGCGCTGAACGAGCCCTCGCTGAGAGAATGAGCCAGGTACCGTCTCCATGCCCCCCTTTTAACTCGTAAAAGGGCAGAAGAGAAAACTGATTGGAACCATATGGCGAGGGCGAAAATCCACGCCGATCGGAGACCCTAATCTTCTTTGATTCCAGCAGATACATTTTCCAGCAGGAATATATGTGGCTTGTTTCTTTCTCTCTCCCACTCCCCCCCCCACCACCTTTTTAGGGGGATGTTTGCAAAAGATGCCTTCGAGGGTGTTTTCTGTGTTCCTTTGACGCGCACAGCCGGCTCACCCGTTCCCTCACCTCCGGCTGCCGAGCCCCCGAAATTTCCTTCCCAGTCCCACCAGCAAGGACCGGGCGACACACGCGCGCGCACACAAGCGCTTACTGGCACGCCTGTGCCCAGCGCACGGCCGGAATCCAAGCACCCCTCCTTGCAAAGTTTCTTTCCCAGTTTTTGGGGGAGGGATGTGGAGCCTGAAGCTGGGAGGGGGGTTGCAGTGGGCTTCGTGCGTCGACTCACAGAGCGCCAATTACTGCGTGTTCCTCTGCGCCCCACGGCGGGGGACTTGGGCTCCCTGTCCACCGAGGCCACGGTGCCTCTTACCCTACCTGCATCCTGGATCTCTGCTTTGGTCTTAAATACAGATGAAGGGCGAGCTTTCTTCCCCCTACCCCCAGAAAGAGTGCTGTGGAATTCGGTGCCGCCTTAGTCTGTTTCTTCCGCACACGGGGGATGGGGTGGGAAGCATCTGGGTTCCAGCAAAGGATTTTGAAAAAGGGAAACCTAAAGGGTTGATGCTTCGCACAGGGAACTGAATCTCCCCTTCCTTGGCTCTGAGAGGTGGGTGTATGCCTTTGTCAACCAAATGTGTCCCCCTTTTTCTCTCTGAGTGGAGGAGGTTGGGGATCGCTGAACGCTGCTAATTATTACACCCACATGCATTTACTCTGGAGTAAGATCCCTTTGAAATCAGTCAGACCGCCTTTACCCAGACTCTCTGCGCATTTCAAGAACGGGGTCAGATATTCGTGGACCCGGAGTGGAACTTAATTAAGGGGCATTATTAAAACGCTTCCAAGAAAAGAGTTAATTTGAAGTCCTCGAAGCACTTCCCTTCTGATTTTTTTTTTAAAAATTGCATTAAAACTGAAATTAGTCCTCCGGTATGTGGCTCCGATCCTGAGACTCCAACCTGCGAAGGCTGCAATCCGACGCGATTTGGCAGGCAGATTAATAGGGCTTACCCCCGAGTAAACTCGGCTGGCTTCGCCGGAAGCTCAACACCGCCTTGCGCAGAATCCAGCTGCGCTCCAGCTGGGCCCGTGGCGCGTTTACTCAGCAGTCAGTCCCATGGAATTTCATGGGATGTCTTCGGGGTGCCCCCACGCGCTTCTTGCTTTCTCTCCGTTCCCATTTCTTTTTCAGGGACTACCTGCAACTGTCAGAATAGGAGAAAAAAAGCCACTCCTCCCCACAGAGGACTTCTGGAGCATCTTCCAGTGCCGGAGCTCAACCGGGCTACGGACTGAGGGGCGACAAGGAAAGAGCAGTTAAAACTTCTCAACCCCGCTCCGCACACCGGACGCAAAACTCTCGGGAAAAGTGGCGGCTTTCCCAGCGGCTCGGCCTGTAATTCCTAACTCTCCCTGATAAAAGGGGAAGGGGTGGCGAGCGCGGTGGAGGAGAGATGAAGATGCCGCCCCGCGAATCTAGGCAAACCTCCAAGGATTTCTCTCCCTGCATATTTATTGATTCCCGGCTCTGATCGCGCCTGCTAACGTCTTTGATGCGTTTGAAGGATGAATTCTTGACAAGAGGAAACCCCCATCACCAATATTATTACAGCTACGATTACAAACGCTCCTGTGTGTTTATGTGCCCTGATTACGACGTCATTAGAGAATCTGAAACAATACATTCGTGGCTTGCTTCAAGAAGGGAGAAGAGTAGGAAAACGGAGTACTTCCAGAGAAGCTTGAGACGTGCTCGCTTTATTGTACAGAGGATCTGGCACGAGCCTCGCTGCCGCTACTCGGAAGTAAGGCGTGTTCAGTGCAACGGAAGTGGGTAAGTGCAGGGGCGGCGGAAGGACTACATGTTTTAGGGTTCAGCTCCAGAGACCTGTCAGCTTGGCCAGGAATGCCGGGAGTGGAAATCCCAACATCTGGAATCCTGCTTTTTCTAACCTCTGCGTAACCACGTGGAACATCCATACCTGACTTGGCACCCTCCAGGGGTTCAATATCCATCAGCCCCAGCACGTGTGGGCAATGGCCTGGAATGCTGGGACATGTGGCTTACCACATGTGGAGCTGGGCAAGACTGGTGGACAGCGAAGGTGGGCTGAGATGAGCGCTCCAGACGCTTGGCACTTCCGCTCCCAGCATTCCTGACCCTTGGCCATGTTGGCAGGGCCTTCTGGGACTTAAAGTCCAACACATTTGAAATCTGCCTGACGCGGGTCTACAGGATTGCAGCCCAAGTCCAGCAGGAAGCAGTAAAGTCTTTAAACTCCACCTAGATGGAAGCAAACGCGGGACGATGCAGCGGGACATCCCCAAATTAAAATAATGCGCATCGAGGGTGCGGGTTTTCTCCTGGCGCATGCTTGCCAGCAGTGTGCCAGGAGTTTTCCAGGAGATCTTCCGCGCATTCCAGGGAGCATGGTGGAAACTTCTCATTCCACCTCTTTCCTTTTTCATCCTCCACTTTGAGGAGCTCCTTTGGCGGAAATCGCAGGAGGAGAATTCATAACTCCGTGAAAGTTGGATCTCTCCCCCCTCCCCACCGCAATGAGCAAAAGAGTCTAGTCCACGTTCACACAGGGCGCTTCGAATGACTGGGGTCAACTAACTGGCAGAATTGCACGCCCTCTCCTCTCTCCTTTTTTGCATGGGCTGGCCACAACTGCGTCACACATGAAGGCAGAATTTGAAACACTGAGCCGGGAGGAAGCCCTACTCAGGACCGCTCAGCTCCGAGGAACTTTAGTGAGAGGAGCTGGGCGCAGCGCGCTCCCAATCCGTGGGAATGTTACTGCGCTGCAAAGACACGTGGATGCGTCCCTGGACTTTCCATTGAAGGATTGCCTCGATCCGCGCCTCAGAGGTTAAATCCCAATTTTCAGAAGGTAGCCTTGCAATTGTCACGTGCCATTCCCGTGCAAGGCATGCCGGGATATGTAGTTGGACGAAAAAGCGCTGAGTGAACAAGAGGAAACTCAGTCGAGCCCAATCTGAAGAGTTACATCGGGTCAAAAATCCATTTAAGCGTCTTCACTAGAGATACCTGTTATATTTTCGCTGGAGAAGACCCCGGAAAGGAAACCCCGGAAAGGAAAAGGGAAAAAGCAAGGAAGGAAGGAAGAAAAGGGAAGGAAGGAAGAAAGAACTGCGGGGAAAATAAGCGGGAGAAAAACTGCGCCCACGGCGGGATGGAGACCTGGAGGAAAGACGAGGGGAGGCGTTGCTTTTCCGTATTTCTGAAGGCACCGTCAGGACTTCATTACCCAACAGCGCTCAGGGCCCAAGGCCCGCCCTTCGGGCTTTTGCAGCTCCTTACTGGAAGGGATTTTCGAGGGTCTCTCGGACGGTTCAGCGGGATTGGCTGGCCGTGGCTGCCACTCGGGGCCGCTCTCCGGAGCGCGGCGAGCCGGGCTGGGGCGCGCGGCGGAGGCGCTATGGCCCCGAGGGGCAGCCGAAGGCGCAGGGCGCTTCGCTGGCGGTTGCCGAGGCGGGCTTGGCGTGCGCAGGTGAGCCGGGGCTGCTGAGCGGACGCGCGGGCGGGCAGCTTCTCGGGGGATCAGCCGAGCCGCGCATCCCCGGCTCCATCGCTCGCGGCTGGAGGGGGGCGCCCCCTTTCCCAGCCCATCCTCCGTCTGGGATGCTTGCCGAGGCCAGCTTGCGCCGCGGCGAGGGCGGGGAGCGCCTTGCGCTTGGGTCTGCGCCTCGCCAGGGGTCTCCTGGGTGCTTTGCGCCGCGAAGGGCGGCGCGCAACGGGTCGGCGAACTCGTTTGCGCTTCCCGCAGGGACAGAGACCGGCGGGGTTGCCTGCTTTCTCCTTCTCCGGCTGAGGCATCGCGCGGGGAGGGTGCTTTTCCGCTACCCTGCACGTGAAGTGTCCCGCAAGGCCCGTTCATTTCGTCCTCGGGAGCTCACGGACTGAACGGGGATGAATCACCCCGTTTTCGTAACGGAGGGACCCGTTTCTGGCATGATATCCTACAAATCACCCAAGGCTTCCATACAGCCTCTCTATTTGATCCTCACAGCAACCCTGTGAGGTAGGTTAGGCTGGGAGTCCGTACCTGGCCCAAAGTCACCCAGGGGGCTTGCTGGCTTAGTGGGCTCTAGAACCTGGATCTCTTGAGTTGCAGCCCAGCTGTTGAACCCCTGTCTGTCAACACAGATTAGCTAGCTATCCCCTTGGAACTCTGCTCTTTTGCATGGGCTCACTTGTCTTTTTTGCTGAACATTTCCAGTAACCGTGACTGTCAAAGTACAGAACCATAGTTCGTTCCAAATTATTAATGCTGGAAGAAAATGTGCCAGTGCACATATGTTATGATGCTTATTTGAATCTGATTTGGAAGGATTGTGAGTAGAGAATTATTAGTATTTTCATTTATGTACGGCCGGCGTTTAGCACACATTTGGTTCTGAACTCAGTGTGAGTGTATGTGGTTTGCACAATCACCAGAGGATCTTTTCCCTCTGGCCTCATGCTTGCGGTGTGTTTTGCCCAACTATCTTCAGAGCTTGGTGAGGTTCGCAGTGGGATGGTTTTGACGGCACCCAGAGCTTCGTCCCCTCTGGGCTTGGACCACAGAATATCCACGTGGTGCAGATCACGTGGCCCAGAGCGGGTGGGAAGAGGATGGTTTGGAAACTCTGAAACAAACTTGGCTCACAACCCCAACGGCATGACTGATCATGTTGTGCCAACCAGGTTATAGCTGTTTATCTACATTACATTCATGTAAATGGGACCAGAAATATTGTAAGAGGTTCAGGGGTACTGTCTTTACTTGTTTCTCAAGTAATTTGGTACTTAGCTGCTTCCACACTCATTGTGGGTTTTAGAGACTGGAAGAAAGCTTTAAGGAATGCTTGGAATGACAAAGCAATCCAGGTGTCAAACCGTTACAGAAAAGCAATAAGGACAAACAACACGTCTTAGGCTTTCAGTAGGCTGAATTTTGCAAGGTTGGATTTACTCTTCTTTCTGCTCCCTTCTTCTCATGCCCTCCAGTCAGTGAGAAGTTTCCTCCCTCAGAATCTTGGTGGGTCTACATTCCTTATTTCTCCATAAATTTTGCAGCCTGGTGCTTGCTTAGAAGAAAGTCCAATTTATTCACTGGGTCTTTTCCCCCAGGTGAATATGCATAGGATCATATCTTTAGGCTGCGAGCCTGTGTTTTATTTATTTATTTATTTATTTATTAAAACATTTCTATGCCGCCCCTTGCCGAAGCCTCTGAGCGGTGTCCATTCATTTGGGAGTAAATACAATCAAATCCACAAGACTTGTCTTCAAATACATGTGGTATTTGGCTGCAGGAGCCCAAATGCAGGGCTCTTAGCACGAATACATGAAGGACCTTTTGCTGCTCTCCCGTCTTTGCCTTGTATGGATCACTGGGATGAGGCCAGGCTGACGGATCAGAGGGAGAACATGGTAGGTAGAAGATAACATCTTTCAGCTTAACATATGGTATATATACAGGGTGATATAGTACTGGTATTCTGTCAGAGTAGCAGTGATACATAACTGTTGCATTTGCATTGTTAGTATTTACAGTTCACAAAAACTTCGCAGCAGCTGAGTTTGTTTAATTTCCAAACAAGAGTTCCATTTCATTGGCAACAAAGTGCCTGCTTGTGTATTGCCAATTGAGGTTATTCCTTCCTTCCTTCCTTGCATTCTTCTGTTCTATATTTCAAGTAGCTCATAATCTGGGAAGGCCTTTGGCAGTTATAGCCTGCATATAAATATGTGAATAAATAAATAATTTTTATTAAAATGGCTACTGAAATCCTGGTTATATTAAGTCAATCAAATAGAATCACCCAGGCGATATAAGGGGATTGTTTAGTGTGTGTGTAGGAATATGCTGATTATTCATGCTGGGTTTTGTTGTTGTTCTTGTTGCCGCACTGTTGTCTAAAGGTTAAAAAATCTACAATGCTACATTCTGCAGAAGACTTCTACTTCCTGCAGAAGACTGCTCCTGAAAAGCGTATTGTTTCTCAGTAAGCCATATTCCTTGGCACTTTTACAAGCTCAATCCACACAGGTGTGCACTTTGATCAGTTTTCAGCTAGTCTGTGGCATGGATATTTGTCACTAAATTAATTTTTATTGCTTTAAATCTCTCTTCTCTTCACCTCTCCAAAGAGCTTTTCCCAACAACAGGAGATCATCTTGCAAAGTTTTTAATGCATTTAGCAGTGTGTGTGTGTTTATGTGAGAGAGAGAGGGAGGAAGGGAGAACAGGCAGATGAGTAACCAAATTTGTTTCTCCCTCCGTCCTCCTCCTAGCGAAAAGCAGAGCTGTTTTGAAAAGGGCTCCCATTCAGTTGGGGACATGGAAGAAGAGGAGGCAGTCAGATGATTGTTGTGTAATGACATTCTTTCAGCGCCTGGCATTCTGCTAAAAATGATTGACTCTGATTATCATATTTGCAAGCTCGGTGCTTGGTTTGATGAATGAAATGCAGCAGGGAACGTATGGCATCAGTGCAGATGTAAATGTCTATTGTGAGTTGTCCTTGCCACAGCAAACCTCTTGTCTAGGCGCTGCAGTTTTAAAAGCAGTGTAGCTAATTTTTGGAAGTATTGAAATATTTAGCCCAGGCTTCCTTCGCTTTGGTTGTCACCTCTGCTTTGTGTCAAATGGCAGATTCATTTCTTAAGGATGTCTCTATTTTCTGCTTTATCTGTACATTGATAGATTCTGCGTGACCAGACCTGAGTGAGACTTCCCTGAGAGAGGAGTGTGTTTAAAACATACAGACGGGCAGAAAGAGACTAAATCTAATCTCCTTTTATGGCCCCGTTCAACTCCTTTTGATTAAATGAAAATATGAACTTGACTTGGAGGATTTTTCCTGCATTCTCCCTGTTATGTAGCTTTAACAGATAGCTTTCCAAACACAGAAAGAACCATAACATCCTGGCTGATAAGTTTTGCTTACTTTGAGTGGATTGCCTGGAATTGCCTGCCTGCTTGCTTTTTTTAAATTCACACATTGCTTCTCTTTGCAACCTCTTACACCTGCCAACCTGTTTCAGTGCAGAAGTGGGATCTTTAGAAACGGAGTCAGGGAAAAATCCAGTGCAAAACATGGCATCTCAGGGCAATCGATTCCATTTGCATGTAGAGCTGCCCATATACAGGGGTTTTCTCACAACTTTTCAGCAGTACTCCATTCTGTTTCTCTAGGCTTAGAGAAGGCAAGAATAGGGTTATAATGAACCATATATGAATATAGTATAGTATGCAAGCTGTCCCCTTGCAGTGGGACTGAATGACACTTAGGAATATATTACCCTGGCTGGATTCTAAATGTATGATTTGAGAATCTAGGACTTTTAGGTATTTTTGGAATTCAACTCCACAAGCATTATTTCCCCTTAGTTTAAAATCATTCTCTCTCTCTCTCTCTCTCTCTCTCTCTCTCTCTCTCTCTCTCTGTGTGTGTGTGTGTGTGTGTGTATCAATTTAGTTTAGTTCTCTCTAATTACATAGGAGCTAATATTTCTAGCAAAAGCAGCAAGGACTTCTGTGACACCTTTAAAGCCTGACCACAGTGTAAAAAGCTTTCCTGGGTTTGCTGTGACAGTCCTAACCCAACTGCACCCATGGAATATCATATTTCCATTTTTACCTCTGGTGACACTGAGGCTGAGTGAGAGAATAAGCATGTGCCCTTTTTCTACAGAAAAATGTGACATATTTTCCTCCAGTGTTAATGGCTGTCAGGACATCACCCTGCTGGCCACCTGGCAGCAAGCTTTCCATTCAGTCATTTCCTTACGAGCGCCATTTCTGCATGTCTTCTCGATCTGAAGGTTCTGATTTACTTCTTCAGATATGGGTAGGTGGCGTGTTGAAGGCGATTAGGAGACAGACGAACAGGTTCCCTCCATCCATCTAGCTTGCTGCCCATTCCCGCACAGGTGTGTTTGTGACTTCCCCAGCCACAGTTGAAAACCACGGCCCTCTAGCCAGACCAAACTTAGCAACAGATTTCAAAATCCCCATAAAATGATCTGGGCATCTTTATAGTTCACAAATGATTGCACTGCATGCCCTGTGGTCCCCAAGGCACCAATCCAGGCAGATGGTACAACGTGGTTTTCTAGAATATATACCAATTGCTTGAACAGTATGATTGCACGACACAACTTTGCAATGGTAAAATGAACAGTGCCATGCAGTCTGGTCGATTCCAGGCACAGCCTTATGCTTTCTGCTCTTAAATTTCTGGAAAAAGGAAGCTTGCGTGCATCCAACGCAAGGCACAAAGGGCAGGAGTGGCAGTGTTTACCCTCCTGCATGGTGCTTCCCATATTTCACCTGGCTGGCCATTTCCAGCCATATAAATGAAGGGCTATGGGGAGAGGGGAAGGAACTGGGGCCATTGGATACGATGTAGGTGGTTGGACCCAGCCTCTTCCCCTTGCTGCCTCCCCACCCCACAGCATGCCCCTTTAGCCCTCTCTGAGGTTGATTTGCAACCTTGGAGACATGTTCAGAGTGTCCACTTGGAGACCTTGGAGGTGAGACTCTAGGTCCTACCCTCAGACAGCAGTATGAGACCATGGGGTTGCCCCTGAAAGAATAATGGAAATAGCAGCTAGAATCTTTCTCTTTCAAATTAAAAGTTCAAGCTCTTATTTTCTTCTTAGCCAGGAAAGGCATCATCATGGAGGCCTCATACTGACTGATTCGGCAGAGGTTCGGTGATTATGTTTGGTAGGCTGCTTATTCTTCTAGGATCTCTCTGCTCCACCATGTTCAAATTTTATATTTCTGTGATTGGAAAGGTACAATCCCATGCAAGTCTGGACATACCAAAGCTTTCAACTCCCAGAAATCTCCAGCCCGCATAAATGCAGTCTTAACTTCACTACGGTTGGCCCACCCCTTTGGTCTTAGGTAAAGATTTCTATAGCTTGCCTCAGGCAGGAGTTTCAGGCTGCCTCGAGAAGCGTTCCTGCAAAGACGCTTTGCCGGAATCAAATGCCTTTTGCTTCCAAGGCATACCCAGTGCTTTTTCCAGTTCCGGAAACACAGTTTTGCACTTAAAGCTACGTAGCTGAGACAACTCAACTGTTCTGCATGCATAATTAGATCACAGATTAAAATCAACATCACTCCCATGAAATCTGATACATGCCAGTCGACAGACTGCTGAATATTTCCTACTTTGTGGCTAATAGGATGTCACAAGTGAGAACTGACGTCTGGCAGGGCCAGGGTTGCATCACGGGGAGTGATGTGTATGCTGTAAAACCAGAACCTTTTTCTCTTCACCTGCTGAAGCCTGAAGGCCAGTGCCAGTTTGCAAAAATACTTCCTAGGTGAGAAACCTAGGATGGAACTCCGCTTGTCCAATGAACGAAGCAATCCTAAACACACATTCCCAGGGGACTTGTTTCTTGAGGAATGCATCTGTCGTTGCCTTCAGTTCTGTATATTATTATTTTTTGCATCAATGAACCTGCAGTCATTCCCCTGTATTGGCCCTCCTTTTTTAATATGTATGGAAAGCAATGGGCTCCCTTCCAATGCCGTCTCTATTTGGGGGCAAATCAGGGCCTTTGCTTTCCTTGGTGCACAGACCCCACCTCCACCTTTCATTTAGGTTCCTGGGCCAGTCGCTTTTCTTTTAGCCTCACCAGTTTTCTGCCTGGAAAACAGACGGTTTTGTGATCAGCCACGCTTGCCCTAGCGCCCATTTTATGAATTGGGAGCCCTCACCCATGGGTGCCACTTTGTCAGAGCACCCACAACACTCTCAAAATTCGAAATTTGAGGGGGGACCCAAAAGAAACCGGAATCATTCCCTGGTGGGCGAGCCCATTATAGTACATGGGTACCTCTTATGGGGACATTAGACATTATATGGGGACATTATAGTACCCATGGGTACATGGGTATAGTACATGGGTGCCTCTTATGGGGACCCTTCTGCATCTCTCTGCTGACTGGTGTTGTTGACCGAAGTCATGGCACCACAAAATGGCTGTTTTCAGCGATCAATAAATCAACAAACATGCAAGAGTAACAAAAACATTTACTATGTGTCACCACGACGTCATTTGGTGACATCGGTTGGCAGAGAGATGCAGAAGCGTCTCCGCAAGAGGCATCAAGCGGCAGAAGCATGCGCTACGACGGGCTCTCCCACCAGAGAATGTCTCCAGCTTCCTTTGGGTCCCCCCTGGTATATTTACCAACCGAAAAAGTTTGGGATCCCTGCAGTAGTAGGACAGAGAAGGAAGTGAGCTAGGAGTCCCTAACCCATGGCCAGATCTGTTTTCCACAGGGACGGGCACAGTTGCAACATCAGCTTGAAATGGGCAAAGGCGTTCCTGGTCGTGGCCATAGCCAATCTGTGCCATCAAGCCAGCGTTTACCTGCAGTCGGCGACCCAGTTCCATCTTGCCTCTTAGATTCCCTGATTTCTGTTTTGGTTCCTTAGACTGCTAACCTGATGCAGGTGGGATCACATTGCAGTGATGCATGCTGAGTTTCTTGGCCGCTGCTCCACGCCTTACGGATGCCCGAAGTGTGTGTGTACATGTACACTAGGGATGTATCAATCCTTTTGATCTGTGGCTTGCAGACTGTCAGACATCATTTTATCCATTGTCCGCTTGTTGGCAGATTTTTCTCCCCATTTCCTGAATTGGTTCGCGCTTGTTCAGATTTGCACTTTCAAAAATGCACGTCCTCCAAAATGCTTTAATGCTTTAGCCTATGTGGGGAACAAGGGGATGCACCCTTTCAGTTGGTTTTTTAAATTGTTTATATTTTTCTGTGACTGCATCTATGCAAAATCCTAGGAAGTAAAAACAAAACAAAACTGCCGAATTTGCGTGACTCAGGGAAAGCCAGTGCATTGTGGAAACTGCAAACTGGGTTCATAGAAATCTGAACTCCTGGGAATCCATTGAGGACTTCTTTGACATCCCAACTGTACACACGCAGATGGACACACACAGACACACTAATTTGTAGCTCAACTTTCTTTGAAAAAGAGGGAGGCTTTTATCAAGCTTCATAAAAGCATAGTTTAAAAATAAACTTTAAGTTGCAATTCATATATTAAGTCTTTTAGAGTTCACTCTTCCGGGGAACTGCAAATACTTGGTAGGATTATGAAACACAGCCAAGAAAAACAGCGGACCACCTATGGACATAACGTGTCCTTCCATTTTGTGGACTTTGGAGAACGGAGGTGCAAGATTTAGGTATGTTTGGAAGCAGTACATTGAGTTTTGATAATTTACTTAGGGGCAATCTGATGCCGGCTGAGAGGAAGAAAATGTCCCCTAGTTCCCAGCCGTGGCTGGCTGGAACATGCTGTAAGTTGTACGAGGTGTTTCTGTCTAGGCAGGATTGTGCCCTTAGGCATGCTCAAGAGTCAGGTCAAAATCATGTCTTTTGATTCTGCATTTTACAGGAGTGCCTGTAATGCTTATTGTTATTATCATTTAGAAGTTGTTAATTAGAAACTTGTAGCAAATTTCCCCTTGAGTTTCTTTTTCCTTCCTAGTCAGGCAGTGTGCTCTTCGTCAAAGATAATATTTCTGGGGTTTCCCCCAGATGACGTTTCCCTGCAAACTTTGAGATTCTCAGGAACCTGCTGATTTCATCCTCTTTGGTGGGGCTGGTGCCATTTTGGCTTCATGGACAACGGAATTTGCAGCCTAAACATGGGGATTAGATGGTCTGAAATCCTAGCTTTCCGGCTTGCAAAGCTCTCTAAGCAGAATTGGAAAAACATGACCATGGATGGAAATGCGATACAGGGAATATCAATAAAATCAAATGAGGTGTTGTTGTTGCTGGTTTATGCATGTTTCAGTGAGCTGTGTGGTCTTCACTGGATTGTGTCGGTATTGTGTTTTGCATTTTAATATTTGATTGCATGATCCAGGCCTTTTTCAGGTAGAGGAGGCAGGTTCAAGAAATAAGTCTCAGAAATAAACTAAACTAAATTGAGCTGGTGTCCTGCTCCAGCCAAGTGCCTGGCCGAGTTTTCATGGAAGCAGTTTTTCACATTTCTGTTGGAAATCAGTAAGGAATGGGGTATTAGCAATAATGAAATCCTACACATGGAGCAGTGTGAAAAGAGGACAGAGCGAAGAGTATTCTTTATAAGCGTTATTGAACATCTGGACAGTCAGTCCAAATAATTCTCCATAATGTGTGTGTCCAAGAATATTATGGAGAATACTTTTGTACTGATTGCCCAAGGGGATTTTTCATGCTTGACTGGGAGCTTCTTTTAGCTGAAACATGGGATAAAAGTATTTTAAGACAAACAAATCAATGCTCACATCAACACAACCGATATATTATTTATTGTCAGGAAAACCACGGGGCAGTGCATCGTGGTGCTTAATAGAGTGTCAGAGAAAGTATGTTTTCTCCCTTCAAAATGATTATTTGGATTTGCTAAGGAATGAATCTGTTAAATTAAGCGGTGAATACTGCTCTTGCCCACTTACCTGGGTATAAGCCCTGTTGAATGAAATAGGGCTTACTGCTAAGTAGACATAAATAGGATTGCAGAATAAACATTCATATGGTTAAGTGAAAGCCCAGTGCTATGCATGTTTACTCTCAAGTAGGACCTGTTGAGTCTGTAATGGAGAGACTGGCTCCTGGGATTTTGCTTTAAGGTTAAATTAACTTGGCTAACAATATACAGGTGAGTCTGGAAGTAGAGGTGGGGATATGTATGCTACCGTTGTAACATTTTTGTTATCCTTCCCAGATGAAAGTTCGAATTCCTTCAAGTTAAAAATGACAGGGCCAAATATTGTTGCTGTGGGCACAAAGCAGGGTATTTCTCACTCCTTTATGAAGCAGTCTTCCATGAATTACGTCTGTTTTAAGAGACGAGATTGTTTTTCATACTCTCCTGCCCTATAAAGAGAAAAACACTAACATGTTTACTTAAAAACAGGTTGGACAAGGGACGGAGGAACATTTTATTTTTATTTTTTGTAAGGTAGCATAGAAATTCTAGCTGAAAGGTAAGAACAGGATGTTCTGCCGTCAGTTAAATCAACACGTCTGTTGCTGAATGGCAGAACTGTTGACCATGTTGCACTGAGAAGCAGGTATATAAAAAATAATGCTTGCTCACTGCTTGTGTGCCCTCAGATAATTGCATACCATCGAAAGGTTTGTCCTTAAGTTGGGAAAGGTTCCACTAGTTGAGGGAGAGTCAACCTGGTGCCCTCTAGATGGCTTTGATTAAGGCTGATCGTCCCAAACTTCTGTTAGGTACCATATTGCCTACCCTTCCTAGTTTGCTACAACAGGCAAAAGCCTGGAGAAGAATCCATGTTCTCTCCTCTTTTGTTGTCATTCCAGTGCCTGCTGGCCTCTCATTTTCTTGTTATTTCCACATCTTTAATCACCTGTACCCTTTGCTCTTTCTGTCAGGACCTCAGGGTGCTGTGCCTGGATCCTCCTTTAACCATGTGAATTAAACTGAGGGAGAAATTAAGGTCATCTCTTGAGCAACATGGATGAGCTAGGATCTGAATGTGGGTCTCCTTACTTCACTTCTGGCGGCCCAGGAACCATTCAAGTATCTTGTGATACCTGCGTTGCTCTTTGCGTACTTTCCAACTGTTATCCCAACTAAAACTACTCCAAGCAACTCCCAGACAAGCTTTCAGCAACAATGACAACCAACAGCCAACAATTCCAGAATCTCCATCAGCCAGGTTGGAACCCCAGGTTGGCTGGGTATGCTCTTCAGACCTGCACCTTAATGTCCCTACTTTGGGACAAGACCTGTTTTGTGACTTCCTCTTTTCTTTCAATTGATTTGTTTTAAATGAGTACACACATTTTTAATAGTCCACTAAAATAGACATGTGCTCACTTTCTTTTAATCCTGTAGCCCACTCCGGCCCACTGTCCAAACTAAGAAAGAAACACCAGGTTGGCAATGAAAGAGTTGGTGCAGAGGTTCCCCAGGGCAACTGACTGCTTGGCTCAGACGTCTTATGCAAACAGCCACAGAAGCTTCATGGCTTTCTTGCTGAAAAGAGAAGTGCTTCATCAAACTTAGAAATATATGCAATCTATATCTGAAATTGTTCTATTATAGTCAAGTACAAGACATATGTGAAAGCTGGTCCATAAGGAAGGGTGAGTGCCAAAGGAATGAGGCCTTTGAATTGTGGTGCTGGAGGAGACTCCTGCGAGTCCCTTGGACCGCAAGGTGATCAAACTGGTCCATCCTGGAGGAGATCAACCCTGACTGCTCTTTGGAAGGCCAGATCCTGAAGATGAAACTCAAATACTTGAGCCACCTAATGAGAAGGAAGGGCTCCCTGGAGAAGAGCCTGATGCTGGGAACAATAGATGGCAAAAGAAGAAGGGGACGGCAGAGGATGAGGTGGCTGGATGGGGTTACTGAAGCAGTTGGTGTGAGCTTAGGTGGACACCGGGGGATGGTGGAGGGCAGGAAGGCCTGGAGGAATGTTGTCCATGGGGTCGCGATGGGTCGGACACGACTTTGCGACTAACAACAACATCTGAATTTGTTCTATTGTAGTCAAGTGCAGGATGGCTCCCATTCTGCCTTGGAGCTAGAATTGGCTTTCTCGGATCCTGGGGAGCGCTTTGTTGCCCACCCCAACCTTGGGACCTGAGATCCCTTTAACTGAGAGATGCCAGCAAACGTAACTGAGGCTGTTTGAATGCCAAAGCAGGGATTCCACTACTGCATTTCTCTACCATCCCCTCTGCAAAATTTGGCCCAGTTTTGTGTAACACATTGTCCAAGATCCACATCAAACAATAGCACCAGCTAAGCAAGAGTTTCCTGGCCATCTTACAGATATATAATCAAAAGCTGGGATTCTGAAAAGAGGGAGAAATCATCTGTCTGTCTGGGACTAGACGGGACTCTGTCTGGGACTATAAGGCACAATTCTTCCTGCCATCCCCCAAATTTGCTCTCTTTGGGCACTATGATAAATAAAACTCAGCCTGTGATTCTCGCTAGTATTGGAATTGCACTAAATAACGCCACCATCCTGTTTATTACTGGCTTCATTGGATAATAATGCACTATAAAGCCTTCTGGAGGGTTTTATATAGGAGTGCTCTGTCACACTTAGTGGGGCAAGAAAAAGGTGACTTTGTAATAATGGCCCTGAGAGAAGGATATAATGCTGAAAGGTGGACTAGGGAAAAATTCTTCAAAATAGCAAATAGGCTTTGGTGTCATGGGCTTCTGTTTTAACCCCTGGCTTCTATTTCTGGTAGTTCACTATGTTTCCAAAAGCTTAGGATCCAGAAGCAACCTAGCTCATTATTGAAAGTTTTTTCTTGTCACATGCAACAAAAGCACCTTCTGATCAATTGCATTAGTAGGGGGTAGAGGCAGAGACTTCTTGGTTGTGGCCCCGTATCAGTGAAATTCTCTTCCAAGACATATTTATTTATTTAAAACTTTTCTATACCATCCAATACTTAGATGTCTTGGGATGGTTTACAACCAATTAACACTGAAGCAGAAATAAGAATGAACAACATATATGGTTGATTCTGTAAATTCTGGTCTTTATATAAAGGAGTCTTGAGCTTTTGAGTGGCTTTTAGATGAGGTACTGGCTGGAATTCCTGATAATTTAATGGTTCTATGACTGCCTGTTTCTAAATGCATCTCAGATCATAAATGAGGGTTGAGTTGGATTGTGAGATTTAATAGCTGTTTAATAGCTTTAATAGCTGTTTTTAAATGACATTAAAATAAGAATATGCTATTGTTTCTTATTTTATTTTAATATGTGTTCCTTGGGAGGGTTTTCTGGTTGAAAAGTAGGGTGGCCACAAAAAAGAAGATAAGGACACCTGGTTTTTCCTAAAATAAGCATAAGCTAAATTTTATGTGCAGATGCTCCTTTCCACATTATTATAATGATCTCACTAGAAATATGTCATGCAGAAAACTATGTGCCCACCAGTTCAGTCTGGAGTCCAAGCACAAACTGATGGTAGAACTCAGTTCTAATGGTTCTGTATCTTTCCAGGACCTGGGTAAGACAACCCTTCCACCAGAATACTGCAAGAGAAGATACCTAAGAAAATATCTTAAGCGGACCAGAAAAATTCAAACTTGTGGTTGTTGAGGAAAGCATAGACTTAACCAAGTCTGGCTCAGGCTTTTGGAAGAGCTGTTTAACAGTGGAGGATGGGTTTGGAAGAGTCCTCCTAAATTGAGCTAAAAGGTCATATAATCCAGGTTCCTCTTTCCAGAAGTGACCAATCTCCATGAAGCCTACCAGGTTAAAACTGAAGGAATAGTCCACTTTCTGTGACCAGAGCTTAGTGTTGCAGTCTCAGAACACAGGTCATCATGGCTGATGGCCACCAATACTCCTATTCCCAGGGGCTTGGTCTAAGCATCTTCTAAAGCTATCTGCTTAGAAGAACCACATTCTCAAGGGGCATCTGACTTCAGGAAGGGAGTGTGCCTGAAGGTCACCCAGGAAGGGTTTGGGGTGTTGGTGCTCCAGTGTTCCTCTAGTGTCTTTTCCTTGTATCCATTCCTTAGCCTTTCTGCTTAAATGACTCTCTTTTTCTTTTTCAGATGAGGTGGGCAGAAAGACTGAGCGAGGACTCCTGAACCTGTCCAGTGGGTAGAAACAGATGGGTCACTCCATCCACGTTGGGAACATGATGCCACCCTTGCAATGCTCTCTAAAATGTGGTCTTGATGGGATCATCTGTCTTCGCTATTCATTCAAGGGCAGAAAACAAGAGAACTTCCTAATTTGTTCAGTAACCAAGCTTTGATAGGCTGTCAAGCAGGATCCAGTGGCCACGGCATTGCCTGTTCTTGCCTCCAGGGGGTATTTGGAAGCATGGTTTCCTCCAAATGTGACGATCCCATTGAACCTTAAAGACAGTAGCTACTCGCATCTCTATCTTCCAGAATATGGAAGAGCACTTTGGAGAGAAGCACTATGTCAATATGAAGTATGAATAACATTAGCTTTAGGGGTTCCTTGCTTTGTTTTTCACCGCTCGTCTTTATTGTATATTCAATTCTTGCATTCACCGCTTGCTTCTGAGCATCTTACTGCCAATGCTGCTTCTGCATGTCTACTAGGCAACAGAACAGCACCGGAGGTGCAAAAGTCAAATAATGTATTTCATTTTTAGCAGGTGACAGCTCTCTCCCCCCAAAAGCAACCAACAATTCACCTTGCTAATGTTAAATTGCTCGAAGCCCTGATGAAAAGTTGCAGGGAAACTTAACATCCGCAGGGCAAATCTGGTTTTTAATTCTTCATCTTCTTCTTTCTTTCTGTGTCTTTGCCTTCTAAATGCCTTGGGCACATTTTCCAATTCTTTCCATTTGGTTCTTTGGGAATTAGAAGTACATTGCAATGGGAAAGCGGAACTCGAGAGCAACATTTACCCGCTGGTAGGGTCCACTCAAATGTAAATGCTAGAGCTGGAACGTGTATCTTTGTCTATATCTAAATTGCAACCTTGATTAGACTTTAGAGCATAATCCATCTTCAGAGGAGAATTTATAGAGAATCTTTATGGGGAAGAACAGGCATTGATTTGCTCCGAGCTTGTGGACGGAGCAAAGAGACGACTTTTTCGATTGGCTAAAATTCAGGTTTTGCTGTGAGCAATTTAAATTTGGTTCAGTAGGAATGATGCTGCCTGCCTGCCTGCCTGCCTTCCTCCCTCCCTCCTTCCTCCCTCCCTCCCTCCCTCCCTCCTTCCTCCCTCTTTCCTTCCTTGCTTGCTTGCTTGCTTTCTTTCCCTCAGAAGGAGCTGTGAGTGACGGCAATGGCGGCCGCGGCCGCTAAGTGTTTAAATGATGACACCATTACGTGGAGTGATTTTCTGAAACAAGAGATTCCAGCCAAGAATTACACCTGCTCTCCCATTGCCTCTGAATCCTTCCTTTGCCGGCTGTGTGGATGATGATTGATTTGTTTGTGACAGGTTGCAGGAAACAGTCATTGATTTTTCAATATTTTTACCTTAAAATTATTTACAGTTGTAACCATGGGGATGTATTTCCATGGGCTGTCGGCTCCTGAAAGACGAGGGATAATATTCCCTGGGTCTCTGACAAGACAAATTATCTGTAATGAGCGCAGTAGCTGAAGGGTATACTTTTATTTTAAAATATGTCAATAACTTCAGTGACTAAACGAATATTGATTCAGCATAATGAAGCCTGAGTAATGTGAAAATGAGCTGTTCAAGGGAAGGCAAAGAGGAGAGGCGTTTCCCCACACCCGCCGCTGCTGCCCGCTCCGCTTTTTCCCCTTTTCTTTCCTAGCTTGTAGCAAAGAAACTTTTCATTCTTTATAGATGGCTGTCAAAAATAGGCAGCATTATGAAGAAATCATTGGTAAACAATGGAGAGTACAACCAGGGCTCTGGATGGGAGTAGCTACGAAGCGAAGGCAGGAACATGCTGCCAAAGTCAGCTTTCTGCCTTAATGGTTATTAAGAAGAAGGTAGAAGCTGTAGAAGAAAAAGAATTCCGTATAGGAAAGTTATGTCCAGCCTTGAACTTTATACAAAAAGTCCAAAATTCAGGAAGCTGTACTGCCTTACCTAGGACAGGAGTTGGTAAGCTGGCTCACCCCATCATCCTCAGCCAGTGTGTCCAACGGCCAGGGATTATGAGCATTGTGGGTTGGGAAATTCCTTGTCAAAATTTGCTGAGGTTGAGTTGGGGGACAAAACTGGTGCTCCAGATAACCTTCCCTCAACTTACTGTTTCCCACCATGGGTGTCTTGTTGTTGTTGTTGTTGTTTTAGTCTGGCAGCAAAATTTCTTCCAGGAAGGCTTTTCTCTCCTCATCTCAGCCCCTTCTGGGAATGCCGGCATTGCCAAAAAGGGACTTCTGGTAGAAAATGGAATGCGCTCCCCAGAGAGGTCCACCTGGCGCCATCATTATTTGCTTTTCGGCGCCAGGTGAAGACCTTTTTATTTAAAAGTTACTTTAACTGTTAATTTATTATTATTGTATTTATAGATTTTAATATATAGCCGAGATGGTACCAGTTTTTAAATTATTGATTGTATTTTTATGGATGTGAGCCGCCCCGAGGCTTTGTTGCAATGGGGATGTTTTAAATAAATTAAATAAATAAACAAATAATGCCGCTGGTACCCTGGGGTAAATGTCCCCTCTGGGTGGGGGGGGGGCACTCTGAAATTGCCCAGTTTTTCCCACAGGGCAAAATAAGGGAGGCCATATTGACATAGCCCTAAATCACAGCCTTCAGGACATATGAAGATCCATAATATCGAATCAGATCGCTGTTTCGTCTAGTTAAGTTCTGTCTAGACAACTAGCAGATGCTCTGCAACATCTGTGGTGCTCAACTCAGCTCCCCATCTGTGCCATTTCTTCTTACCTGTTGCCTTCTGGGAAATGACTGCTTTGTGATGGGTGAGGCCCACCATGGCAGACATATTATGAAAGGGCATGTTTTGAAAATGCCCGCAACACTCTTGAAATTTCTAAGATGCTCACCAACTCAAAAATATATTGACAGCAAGTTTCCTGTTTAAAAAAAGACATTTACAGATAAACGCAGAAACAAAATTGACAAGAATTACAGCTTTAAAGGTGTTGACACAAAGAAACAGATTCTCCCTGGTTGTCTCAAGATACTTGTTTCCCTGATGTGAAGGACATGGCCATATACTCTCTCATTCAGTGTAGAAAAGCCATCTGGAGGGGCAGTTAAATCTTTCCTCAACGCTGGCACTGGGACAACATCTTCCACCACACCTGGAGGCAGCAGGTGAGCTGTGGGGCCACAGGCTCCATTACATAACTCCTCCCTGCATCTACAATCTGAAATAACCACCTCGCCGTGCATCACGCAGACCAGTCGTGGAGTCCTAGATGAATGCTTAAATCAAGTATAACAATGGCCAATGAGTACGTTTCTCTTCCTACACAGAAGCAGCTCCAGATGGCCATCTCTGTTGATGTTCCTCACACAACTCTGTTTGACCTCTTTTCTTCTAAGGAAGGAAAGACATGTTTCTGGTAGCAAGCAACATTTTTCACGGCTCTCTGTTTTTTTATATATGTATGACTACATGCTTATTAAACACAGACCTGCTAAGTTAATCACTTTCTAATTTCAAGATTTCTCTCTTCATGAGCCCTGCCCAATTCTTTTAAGCTTCAATATCCATGGTTTTGTTCGTTTGTTTAAAATGCAAACAGATATATTCCCCCTCTCTTCTCTTAGGTAGTAGTAAGGAAAATGATACTCTAGTCTGTACAAGACACTGTTATTCTCCTTCTTAAATGAGTTGTTTTTTATTTCATGTAGAGAAGGGTCTGTTTCCCAGCTGAACAGACGTCCTTGGGTTGATGGGAACAGCTGGAGCTGCAAACCTCGTTCATAATTCAAAGACAAGAGGCATTTTCCCCTCCCTCTTCTTTATTCACTGTGCACACACATTTCATTTCCAGTGTGGTTCAGTTTGCCTTCATTTGATCTGATCGTTGCTTTGACCTGTCATATTTTATCTTGGTGTCCTTTTGGAAAGATCACGAGCTCTTGTTTGGTGGGAGAGAAGGAAATAAATTTTTCCTGCCAAAAACAGAGCAGAGCTCCTCCAAAAGGCACCAGTGGCTGGAGTTCAACTGTTGTGTTTCCTAGCGGTCCATGGATGTGGTGGTACTTCTGAGAAATCTTTCAGGGCAAGCAAAACAGATTGGTGTCCCTGCCTTTTGCCATTAGACTGCAAAGGCAAGGCTGGGGGGTCAGCAGGAAGGAGAGTCCGAGGGCAAGTGCGTTGGAGTTCTTTCAGCCTAAGAGCCAAATTCTCTCTCTGAGGAGCACTCGGGAGGAGCTTTTCAGTGGAGCAGAAGGCAAACGGGCTGTGGCAAAACCAGAGCAAAACCAGCATTTTCGCTCCTGCTCCTTGAATCTCCTGCCTGAGTCATACGCACCTCATTCTTCCTAATCTAATCTATTTAAAGCCCTAAATGGCTTGGGTCCTGGCTACCTGAACGAGCGCTAATGTCCGTATATGCCCGACCGCCCTTTGAGATCTGCGGGAGAGTCCCTTCTCCGGGAACCCTCCATGAAAGAAATTAGGAGAGTAAGTACCCGGAGGAGGGCCTTCTCTGCGGTGGCACCCAACCTATGGAATTCACTCCCCAAAGAGGTCCGCCTGGCACCGTCGTTACTGGTTTTTCGGCGCCAGGTAAAGACCTTTTTATTTAAACATCATTTTAATTGTTAAAACATATGATCTGGCCAGGGCAACTTCTTCTTCCTTCTCTTTCTCCTCCTATATTTTTATTTACTTACTTTATACTGATAATTTTAATTTTATATTTGTAAATCAATGTATTTTTTGTATTTTTTATTTAATGGTAATTTATTATGTACTATTGTATTTCAATGTATTTTATTGTGTTGTAAGCCGCCCCGAGGTTTCGGCAAGGGGCGGCATAGAAATGTTATAATCATCATCATCATCATCATCATCATCATCATCATCTTCGGGCCAGCCTCAGCGTCATGCGTGTGACGTTGATCTTCGAGGCCCTCTTCTACCACTGGATTCTTTCCTAGCCTGCATTTGCATCAAGGGACAGTTTCACATGTGTATTTCGACGCAGTTGGAGTGCCAAATGTCACAGTGCTGGATCAGCCTTTGGGAGCATGTTCCCGTGCTCAGCGGACAAAGGCGAAAGGAGGCAGGCTCTGAATTCCCAAGCATCAAGCATCTTTCAGCTTAATGTTCTTGCTACCACTAATTAACCCTCAGGGGAAACTTTTCAACCTCTGAGAATAAGGAATAAGCACCGAAGAAGGCAATCCACAAAAGTTAACTTGTCTGGGATACTGAGTCTGTAACTTGCTTGGGTCTCTTGTAGCTTACCTATATAAAAGAGAATGTCCGGCTCTTTGTTGGTGGACTAAAGGCACAAGGGAATTAAATGATTAATGAATTGTCCCCAGTGAAATAACAATTCTGCTTATTGACTCTTGTAAGTTCTAGACCTTACTATCAATAACCAACTGTCCCAGACATCAACTTTGCACTTCCCTGCTGAGAAATAGCTTTCATATCCCTTAAACTTAACATTTTGACAAACAGACCTTTTTCTCCTGTGGCTGGTTCTTTTCATTAAATAAAAGTCTAAGAACGTTGTTGATCTTTGTGTGAAATCTATCACTTTAGTTTCATCTCTCTGAAGAACTTCGGAATATTTTAAAACACTTGGTGGCACAGTCCTCATAGGAACAATTATTAGTGATGGTTTTGCTGATCCTTTGAATTCCTGTTCTGCTCTGAGTCCTGCAATCATGGTTGTCATTAGAAATCTGAGATTCTGAGCAAGATAGGCCAGGCATATTTCTGCTCGCCTCCCTTTTCATGCATTGCCTTCTCTTTTCATTCGGTCAGGGAATATTCCTTTCGTGGATGCTTGTTATGCATGTGTAAAGTCTGGAGTTTCTCCCACTAAAATTTGGACTTGGGAATTCCCTTTAAGCATTCTGTAGCACCAATATGATGCAACAAATCAGAATATGGAAACTCCGGTATGCCAAGATTGTGCTACACTCTTCTCAGACTTTGCTGTTTGAGGAGCAGTAGAAGTGAGACTGAGCACTGGATGTTTGGACTGAGAAAAATGGAAATGTGTTATCCTGTTCGCTCATTTTTGTGTGAATGTGCACATAGTGGTGTGT